GGGGGGTAACGGTCGCGCCGCTGTGGCGGCTCCCGCTTGCCCGGACCGGTTCGGGTCCGACCTGTTGCGCAGTTTCCCCGCAGTCCGAGGCGCTGCCCGCGCTCCGCGGAACGGGAGCGCCCTGAAACGCCTCTCGCGGGGCTGCCTCTTAGGCGGCTGGAAGCTTCCGCCAGCATCTCACATCTGAAAAACTCCAAGCCTCACACACAGGCGCAGGTATAGGGGCATGAGAAAAGAAAAAAAAAAATTTAAGAGTTAACTCTTAAGAGTTTAAGAGTTTTTCAAGAAAAAAAAAAGGAGTTTAAAAAGTGCTAAAAGAAGATAAAAGTTCAAAGCAATGCCTGCCGATGCACTTTCCAAGCCAGCTCAGTTTACATTTCCTCTGATTCAGACACAGTTGGAAGCGCAGGAGAGCTCAAACCAGGGAGCTATAAAGCAACTCCTGGAAAACTCAGGGCAGTTTGAARCAAATGGTCTGAAAGTCAGGGCTAGATTTGGCTGCTGGTCCTAATATTAAAATAGGGGAAACTTGGGCTGCAGGAAATGAAACTGGAATCTGGAAAAGGCTTCTCCTTCTCCAACATTACCATGTTTTTGGAGTTAAATTAGCACTTGGAGTTTCCCTTCCCCCTTACGGCTACACACTGTGAAATCATTCACACACCTTACTGAAAAAAACCACATAATAYATATTTAACATATACTGACATCTCCCATTTTACTCTTGTCACCCTTTATTCTTGAAGAGTTTGGGCACTAAGTGGTATCAATTCCTGCATATCTCTAAAGGAAGAGGTGCCAAGTGGGAGCACTGGTAGGCACTTCCATCGTGGGGCCTCATCAGTTTTCACTGTTTATAGCAGCAATAAATGCACTTTACTGCTTTTACTATAAAGGGGTTGTAGTCCTCTTAATGTCAGGGTAATGTATACAGAGGGGAAGAATAGCCTAAATTTAGCAGGCAGAAAGGAGACATCTGCAGCAGTGTGGTGTGCCGAGTGACAAGAAAAAAAAAAGTATTATTTACAAAGAGAGGAAAATGCAATCAAAGGAATTCCCATAAGAAAAAAACTGTATTTTTTTATAAATAGGATTTGATACTTCCTAGCTCCTTTTTTTTTTTTTTTAATAAAAAATAATGTCAATATATATGCTCGCTGTGCTGGGAATGGAAAAAGGTAACATCCTGAGACAGCATTTATCACTTCTTACAAATGCTCTAGGAAAAGCAAGACAAAGAAAGGGAAAAAAAAAAAAAAGAAAAAAAAAGACAGAAAACATCAAAGGGAGGGTCAGGATGACGGATCAGCAAGCCAGGAAGTAATTAGGTGAACCTTATTGCACCTCAGAGAGCGAGCTTCGTTCCCAGCGTTTCTGTTTCAGTTCTTGGGCTATTGTTGTTGACTGAAAGCAGTGGAACCAGATTGCACAGTACTAAACTTCAGAWTATAAAGTGGTTTCGAGAATCCAGCACGTAGAGAAAAGAGCAAGAACAAGCAACTACATTTATGCTTGCACACTGCAGTAAGAGTCTGTGCTATAARACTGCTCTCACACATGTTATTTTTCAAGCTCTAGCTTTCATGAAAYAGTTCCTTTGTAAAGGGAGAAAAATAGGTAGAAATCAGAGCATCATATATGCTTTAAGCAATATCGTTTACATTAAACAACTGTAGGTAGCATACTGCAAAGCTTATACTTAATTTGTGACTGATGTGGTCAGCTTAGAAGCGGGCATTTCGGTGAGCTCAGCAAGTCCTGGCTCAGGTGCAGCACGACTCCGGGGATAAGGACGGCAGCAGAATGGTGCCAGCYATAGCCAGTCTCCGACAATGCCTTGGTGCCCTCGGCCGTGGGGCTGACAGAGCGTGAAAACCCTCTGCCTGCAACTGAACCTTTGGCAAGGGCAGGAGTGCTGCTCCAGGGCACGGATCGCTCCGCTCCTTTGAGGAGATTGTGCTTAGGGGCACACGTGGTACTGAGCGCACAGCTTGGGGCAGCCGAGAGGCAGCCACGACACAAGCGTGCTGTCCAGATGTGCAGGAATATCCCAAACCTGGTCCCACCCCGTCCATGCCAGGGGAAAAGCAGGCTGTGTGCGGGTGGCCTGCTCACAAACCCATAATTAAACAATGTTCTCTCGTACCGAGAAACTGTCCAAGCTTGTTGGGAGCTGCCTGCCCAGGAAGCAATCAGGGCAGTGACCCCAGCCAGGGATCTGTAGCTGCCTGTGCAACAGCTCCTCAGGCAAACTCAYTGCCAGAAGCAGCTTTGGAAATGTCCCTTTGCGCTCTGGAGGTGTCACCGGCACAGCTGGCACCTCGCTGCGCTTCCCGCCTTCCTACACCGTAGGCAAGGCAACATGACACGGAGCAGGGAACCTCATTGCAGCTTTCTTGGAATATATTCATGGTCAGGGAGACTGCTATGGATAGGAATATAAGTAAACCTGATTTGCCACTGGCAGCACAAGTTCCATAGGATAAGACAAGCTTAAAGCAGGTGACTTCAAGAACCACACGCTCACTAGCCATCAGTGCTGTGACGGCCACCTGGAAGGAAGGCAACAAGGACAAGGAACATAATGACTCTGCAAAAGTTTGCTATAATCAAAATGATCCAGAAAACACAGTAGTAGCACGAGTCCCTGCACTATCCACTTAAGGAGGATGGGCATTAGACTAACTCAGCAAATAACGGTGCTATTATTCACTTCCAGCTGCACGTGGGCACTTAACTTGGCTCGCTGCCAAAACAACTGCCACGAAACAGCCGCTGCCCGCAGAAGAGCAATGATGTTGGGGRTACGAGTGAAAATACTTGAGAACAAGGACATTGATCCTTAGTGTATCTTGTGTTTGCTAATGCCTACAGCCTACAAACAGTGACCATAGAAGCACACAGCAAGGATGATTCCATTTTTTTTTTTTTTTTTTCCGGACACAGCTGGGAGCTGTTCCTGTGGAAGGGAGCACTGGGGCTGTGGGCAGCTTTCGCCCGGCTCCCCATGCAGCTCAACACGGTACCTCACAGCTAAGCCAGGAAGCAGCACGACTAGCAAAGCCCAAGTTCCCCTGGTAGTAAGGAATGCAGCCTGGCAGAAGCCAACCTGCTCCTCCTGCTTCATCTGAATTCTCTGATGTCTGATAAGATTGGGTTCTGTGCTGCAGCCTCACCCCTCAGGAGCTGGGCACTGGGAGAATCTTTTCTTTATCTGTGCTAGTTGTGGGGATTAAACAGAAACCCAGACTTCTTTTGGAAAAGTAGTGCTTAAGAGAAAGCACAGCATGTTAGCTAGCAGCTTTTTCTTACAGCAGCTACCAGGTATAGACAGTTCTCATGAGGCGAAAGCTGCTCTCTTCTTTGTGCTCTGTGATCATCCTCACTCACAGCCCAGTGAGTCCTGTGCCTATCACAGGGAATTAGTGATCAGTCAAAATACCAGCTTGCTCCGGGCCATGGTCTTTGTCCTTGTGAGAAAAGGAGTTGCTCTTCATCACACAAAGAAGTCAATATGCCGTGTTCCCAGTGCCCTTCAGTGACCTAAATTATTCCAGTTGTTAAAAATCAAAGTTTTAATTAAGTAAGCTAAATAGTAATTGCAGTAATCCTACTCCACAGAACTCCTATGGGATCATTTCACACATCTCTGATTCCTTGCCTTAAATCTTTCTTAAATAGAGAAGAGAGTTTCCCCAGCAATAAGAGTTCCGTATTATTAATTTGTGAACTTCACTGCGAGTTTATGGGGTTTGTGATCCCTTGTTTGTCCTCATAACTCCAATTTCTTTCAGATTTCAGAATACAAGAATTCCCTCCCAGAATACGAGAACCCAGGGGCCCCTTTATTCTTCCAGCTGCATATGAGCAGGAGATGAACATATTCCCCTTTACAGGAACACTACGAGAGAATTTGTTTGTTTTTGGTGTACCTGAAGTCCTATCAAGCTGTGCAGCTTGTGTGCTCTGAGGTTATTTAAACTCTTGTTCTAAGAGGAATTGAATTGCAGGAGTACAAACTAACCCGATCTCTTTTGCCTTCGCATTAAAATATATCTGTTTGGTTTGGAACTGTTACAATCCTTCAAAAGAGTTTTATTATTCCAGCAACCTCAAGAACTAGAGAACAAAAAGGAATGCGGAATATATGATTTCTCATTTCTTAAAAAAGATATATTTACATGGGTTTATATTTACCTAATGAAGARCGTAACTGGAATTTCTATTAACAAGCTAAGCTCAGTTCCTGAGTGCAAATGCCTTCAGGAAGGCTCTAAAACATCAAAACTGAAAGCATATGAAACAATATTAGTTTAACTTTTAACAATTACCACTAATATGACAYGCATCAACCTAGATCATCTTCCTCCACACTTTCTATAATCAGGACTGTTATATAATAGTAGCTTAACAGCTTCATAGTTGACTTCCTGATGTAAAGA